AATGCCGGGCAAAAGTGGAGCTTCTAGGAAGTTATGATCCAAGCGGAGAAGTCATAATACGAGATCCGTATTGTGTATGTCATCTTTCAACATTCATAAAATCAGAAAACAAAATGGAATTATTAAATTGTTTTTATGATTTTCTTGCAGGATGCTGGTAGCGCAGGATTTCAAAAAGCCTATGAGCAATGCCTGAGAAGTGTAACAGCATTTTTAAACAAATATGCAAATTAATACAAAGAGTAATCTAAATATTAGTTTAAAAACAATTTTAGGAAAATATGTTTTAATATAAACTAATAAAATCTTATATTACCAAATTTTTCTTCATTTATGACTACCATTTAAAATATTAAGAATAATTCTTTTTTTTTAAATTGAAATCCTAAAAATATATCATTTATATGAATATGTAGTTTAATGAAGTCATATCTTTGTGAAAAATTACATCTCATACAATCACACAATTGAAAGAATAGATCTTCAGTGTTTCAAAGTCTATGAAAAAGTGGAGCTTTAAAGATGACTGAATTTGCGAACTGGTTTTGATGTCTTTACTTACAAATAATTACTTTTATAAATATATATATTCTACTGAAAATTTGCAGTGATGTATATTGTATATGCTGTTGTAACCCAATTTCTCAATATTAAAGTAGAAAACATTAAAGTAGAGCAGAAGAGATTAAGCAAAACAAAACATTAAATATAACTCAAGAAAAAGCAATAAGGAAAGAAATAAGTTAATAAAAGATTATTAATAAAATAAAGCAAGAGACATGACTATAAGGAAAAGGAAGCCAATTTCTCGGAAGCTGATGTAAACAGCTGATGAGGCAAACTGACAAGAGTCACCCAGTCACCTAGCACTCAACCTAATTAATTAAGGGTCACCAAGCACTCAACCTAATTAATTAATATATATTAAGTATATATATCGAGATGCGCCGAAGGCGAACCTTGCTCGCTCAATCGCATTCTGACGCTCGTAAAAGCGGCTTTAAAGAAAGAAGTGTCGAAAGAGGGATGTGACCGACGGGGGGAGAGAAAGGTCGGTAGTAAATTGGAGGCGTATCTGTTCGTGGAAGAGGAATAATTGGCATTACTACTCGAGATAGGAACGTATCACAGCCCATGTTGGCGAAAAACCTTAACGCCCGCGTCGTACGTTCGGTCGACCGGTCTAATGAGATCGAAGCTCGCGATGATAATCTCGCTCGCTCAATCGCATTCTAACAAAATACTATACGTATCGCGTTCGATCCCTATAACCGCGAATAAGTGAAAAGTGTATCAAGTCTTGTGAAATACATCAATTTCTACCAAAAGTCCGGAAGTCTTATTTCGAGCGTGGATCCTAATTCTTTGGGCGTACAAATTCCAAAAACTCTCTTCCTTAGTAGTTAGGGGCACAACAATGCATTGTCATATCATAAGGGAGCTGCATTTTAAGAAAATTGAATAAATATTACATAATTCTTTCTAATTTTTCTAGCAACTTATAAACAATAGCTTGCAATTAATGAGAGGAATCAAGAAATGACGCAAAAGAAGAGAGTTCTTATGGTTTGTTTAGGTACTTTAATTTATTAATTATTAATTATGTAATTTTTTAAATTGTTTTCTATTATTTTAGATAGAAAATGAAAGTTAGATATAATATAATTTAAACTTTCTTTTTCTTGCAAAGGGATGAATATTGAATTTAGATTACTCTTATATAATATATATGATGAAAAAGTAATCTTTTTCTAGTTATTTTATAAAACAAAACTATTTCACTTGAGATTATAAGTTTCTTTACTATTTTTAAACGTTACGTAATTAATAACGAATATGTATATTACCCGCGAAAATGAAATATCTACGCTTAATCTATAATGCATTAATTTTTTAGAGCGCGTAAAAAGCATGTTTTTTAAAGACGATAATATTCCTAAATTAGAGTCTCTCGTATAATTTCTTCGCTATTTCTAGGAAATAGTTGCCGCTCTCCTATCGCAGAGGCAGTGTTTCAGGATCAAGTGCGAAAAATGGGTCTATCCGATTTTTGGGAAGTAGAAAGTGCCGCTATTCTGGAATATCACGTAGGCAATGCTCCGGAACCTAGAGCAATGTCTACTCTTCGCAAAGAGGGAATTACAAATTACTCTCATGTCGCGAGACAAGTGGGTCGTCGTTGGGGTATCTTTTTTATATAAAATTCTTTTTGTCGGATAAAAATGATGTTTTTAGATCACAATAAACGATTTCTACAAATTTGATTGGATATTCGGAATGGACGAGTATATTATTCATAAGCTATATGAAATGCGACCGGAAGATAATCAAACGACGATTGAACTACTTGGGAAATATGATCCAGCTGGAATAGTTGTTATAAGAGATCCCTTATTTGTACGTATTACATATAAGATTAATCTTATTTAAAAAAAAAAAATACAAATTTTCCATATTTAAATAAAGGTCAAGCATTCTTTATTGTATTTTTCTAATATAAAATTATAATATCAATAAATCTTTTCTATCGATAGGACGTTGGTAGTGCTGGATTTGAGAAAGCGTTTCAACAGGCTTTAAGGAGCGTGCGCTCATTTTTGACTATTAACATGGTATTTTACCCGATTCTTTTAGTATTATTTATAGGATAATTTGAAAAAAAGAATAATCGAACATTTTTATGAACATATATTCTTTGCAAAGCATAATTCTGTAAAATTTTGCAATTTATTTTAAAATCTCTTTCTTTGTGGATGTATTGATATATATTTTCACAACTAATTAAAATATGTTTTACTTACAGAATGTGTACAAGAGATAAGATATTAAAAAAGTTTTAATTTTATGGAAATACTAATATTCTCAGAGAAAAAAATGGAAAATTATATCCAAGCAGATTATTTGTATATATATTATCCTTCCCCCCTTTCCTTCCCTTATAAAATTAAAACTATATATATCTCAAATTAATAAGAATACAAAAGTATAATAATAATAAATATAATATATAATTTATAAAAGAAGCCGTGAGAGAGGATGACAATGAAAAATTAAAATAGATTAAAACAAACTTTTTTTTGTATATTTATTTTTAGTAGATAAGCAACTAAATAAGATTATTATATAATAACATTTAATCGATTTTTTTTTCATTATTGACAAAATTTTTATTTGTTTGAGATATATAAACAAATAATAATTTGTTTAATTTTATGCGAATAAAGATTATATTATAATATAAGAGAAAAAAACATTTATGGATATATTTTATATATATTAATTATATATATATTTATATATGACTCGTCATGAAGCGAGAGCAAAAGCAACGTGCACACTGATGTACACATACATAGACAACTAAAACGCTAAGTACATAATAAACAGTAGAATTGTTTATTTTGTAAATTATGGTACGCTCATGCTGTATTTGTCAAAAAGAGTACGGTATGGAAGAAGATGTGACTTTTCATAGGTAAATATTCAATGTATATTTTGTATTATATAGCATGAACTTCACCAAATGTAAAAATATTTCGAATATGTCTACCTGAGATTTTCAAGTAAATTATTCATTCGACACGTTTTTGTATGCAAAAGAATATTTGAAAAGTAAAAATTATCGCTCTTTGTTATGAAAAAAAGTAATAAGATGTTGAAGTGTCAGACTTTGAAGGTTAGAAGAATGAATGCTATGCCTGAAAAGTTGCTAATCCATTTAAAACCGTACAATTATATATCAATCTTTCTTTGCAATATATATAGTAAGATATATTTTATATTAAATCACAATTCAGTGTTCATATTCATTATAAAATTCTATATGTGGCCAATATTACAGATTAATAGATTACTCAATTAATTCATTAATCAAAAACATTATTAATATTAATTTGATAAAAGTTATCCCAATTCTTGTTCTAGTATACCTACAAGACAAGATTTAAGATTAAAATGGTTTACTGCTATAGGAAAAGAAGTATCTAAATATGCTTCTGTATGTAATAAACATTTTGACAGAGATGATATTATTTATATCAGTATGATAAAAGGAACTATACGAAGACGCTTGTGTTCAGAAGCTGTTCCTACTTTGCATCTTAAGAGAGAATTGTTAAAGTAAATTATAAATATTTATTTAAACAAAGCAATGTTAAGTTGAAGTATATTGATTGTCATAAATATGCAGAAAATGAAATTATCTCATAATTTTTAGATGTGATGATACTATTATCGAAAACAAAAATCTGATTTCTCAATACCCGATTGAATATGAGTAAGTTACATTCTGTTTTATTATAATTTTACATACATATAAGGATCATTAAGATAAATCTGTTTCAGTAAAACAAACGCAGATAGTATAACAGTAAGACAAGTATGTATGGATAAGAAGGATCATAAACAAAATTCCATTAACCCTGAGGATCATAAGGAAAATTCCATTAATTCTGATGATGATCCAATATGTGAAATAGATGAAATTGAAAACATGTCCGAAAAAATTAATACAGCTAAAAGAAGGTAAGACTATAAGCAAAAGAACATATCATATTTCAATTATTTTTTTATTAATAATAATTTTGTTCTAGAAATACTGAAAATGAAGAAGAGAACAATAAAAAACGCTGTCATGTTCCGAGATATGCTGGAGATTTTTGTCGTGAGGATTTTGCATCTGATCGTAATTGGCAAATATTTTGCAAATATTATAAAGATACATCACGAAAGTTAAAAATTCTTCAAGAAACAGTTAGACGTAGGACTAAAAAAATAGAAACTTTAAGGGATTTAACAATCAACTTGAAAAATAACAAATTGATTTCTGACGAAGTTGCTACTATTATACTTACTGCAAGTAGAAATTTGAAATAACATGAGTACACAAATATTTTCCAAAAAAATATAATTGGGAAGTATTAAGTGAATCGCTCAATTAACTCAAAAATTTCTATAAGGATTCTTGAAGTTTAATTGTATATCTTTTTATATTAAAGAAGAAAATAAAATAATATTGTATATATATTAGATATTCAAATCTTAATTGTCATATGTACATAAAATACATGTAATATAATTAATTTTAATTTTAAATATAATAAAAGAAGCTGAATTTATGAAAATATTTGTACAAGTAATTTTAATCCTGGAATTAGTATGCAAATATTAAAATCTATTAAAAACATAGATCAAAGCGAAAAAAAATGGTAAAATTTTATAGTTTGAAATATAAGCAGATGAAATGACTAAAAACAGAGAGAAATCTGAGAGGGGTCGTGCTGCCGTTTTTCATGAAACCGTTTTCCTCATAGACATAGTATCAATGTTGTTCTCGGGGACGCTTTCTCGCGCATGCGCGTTAAACATGGCCTTAAGATACGTGTCAAAATGTCTATGCTCCGAACCATTAACCTCAGAATACATACCACTCAATCAAAACAAAGTAGTTACTTGACTACTTCGTTGATTGGGTGATCGATGATTCGCAATCCGTAATCCGAATCCGATCCGCATTACGTAGTGCGTGCGTGTGACACGGGCTTATTAGTTATTGTATTAGCCAATGTTTTGGAAGCTGCAAAAATAATTAACCTATTAATCTTCATAACCTGGGAATTCAAAACATTTAAATAACCTTATAAAAAAAATAAAATAAACATTTATATACAATCTCTCAACAGAATTATTATTAAAACTCTTTTCTAAAAACACGAAAGTGTAGGACATGAAAGTGTAAGTCATTGTTATATTAAGTCTCTTTGCTTTACCTGCAAAAATAATCTTTGCATTTTTCAGTGTAAAAGGAAATTGGAATACTCTTTTGAGCAATTACGAGGTTCTAGATATTTTGCGAAATACAAAATCCCATAAAAAACAGAAGCCGAATCAATTGGCGACCATTACTTATCAGACAATCAAATATTTGGAAAGCATGCCATGCAAGACGCAGAACCCAGAGAAAATCAAGGAGTTTTTAAAAGCAATGGAGCCTTTCAAATTGACTAAAGCTGAAAAGCTTGCTCTTCTCAACCTCTGCCCTACTCGACCAATCGAAATACAATTGGTATTGTATCCTTTTTTAAAAAAAAAAAAAAAACGTTCTGATTGAAACACCAGAAAAGTTTCAAGTCTATGAGTTTGATTAGCAATCAGATATTTTGAAATAATTATTCTATATTTTTGAGCACAGTTGATTGAAGAAAGCGAGGAACGTCTATCGGAGGAAGAGTTGGAAACTGTGCTGCAAATAGTCGCAAATGTGCGAGGTGATTACGAATATAAAGAAGAAGAAACTTAATCTAGATCTTAACATAACTTATTTAAATATATTTTATATGTACATTTTATTTTATAATAAAACATGTGACTGGAAATAGTATATTAAATACAATTGTGCATGCTTAATATCTGCAGCCTTATCTCTTTTGATCGCCAAGATCGTCTATGGAATCTTCATCAATCTAAAAAACAAAACAATTTTTTATTTAAAAATTGTTACATTTATATATTTTTGTTCTCCTTTTTTTTTTTATAACTTACTTGTGGCCATTTTTCTGGTATGACTTCGAAGAGATCATCTTTGACATCTCCCTGTATGACAATTTCATCATCCCCAGTCACACTGGACCCACAAGCAAATTTACTGCCAAAGAACTTTGCTGCTACCTTTAAATCTATATCTGTAAATTAAAAATATTATAAGCATTTTATTCATTCAATCATTTTGATTTATAATCAAAATTAATCAATTGACAGTATTACCAAAAGTGCTGAGGCCAGTCACAACTGTAACAGATTTCTTCTTTCCTCTGGGTGCTCTAGAAACTGTAATTAACCGTGGTATATCTTCCTTCTTTTTGGTTTTCAACATACCCTTGCCACCTCGCTTCTGTCGCTTCTTTTCATCCTCTCCTCCGCCAGCTTCTATAGAGCCGTCCTCTGTAGCTGATCAAAGCACGATCCTTCAGTTAAAACTGTTCTAAGATTCTAAGATTTTTCAATTTTCAATAATTACCTAATTTCATTCTTTCAAATTCAGTAGGCAGATTCCTCTCTAGCCATTGCTTGCACTTGTCATATTCAGGATAGTATTCACAATACTGTAAATTAAAAATTCAACTAATGTTAACTCTTATTAACCTTTTCAATACTAATTCCTTTTTATAAAACGTATGTCCAATAAAAAATAAAATCTTAGCTCTAAAAACTTAAATAATTCTTTGTCTTAATTTTTTTTTTCTAATAAGAATTCTAAAGTAAAGCAGTTTAGTTAGAATTAATTTTGATAATTAACTCCGTTTATTATACACAATAATTAATATTAAAAATTGATCGTAATTTACCTCGATAGGTAGTGAACAATTTCCGCAATATTGGACTTGAATAGGATAAGTGACATTGGGATCGGGTCCTAATCGAAAATTCGACTGTTCCTCCGTTGACATTTCTGCGATGTCTAAGCTCAGATCACGATTCCTTCAAGGATTGTTTGAGATTTTCCGTTGTGTCGTTCCGGAAATGTTCTTGAAAAGGCGACGCTTTTATTTTCGCCGTCACCCTGCTATCGAATAACCGCGCGCGCTCTTAGGTTAGGAATCGCCAAGAAGATAGCAACTTTGAGAGCGATTTTTGAAGCCTAGTAACATAGATAGTGATTTTCGATCTCTCCTTGTTTTATTGATCCGTAGTAATTCCCTTGAAAAATAACTAGATTATATTTTACTTTTGTTTTATTGCTTTCTAGAATTTTAATGTATTTTACTGTATTTTAGTATTATTGGGAGTTTTCCAAAAAAAAGATACAGATAAACACAGTGCCACGCAATTGACTATTAAATAAAGAATTTTTAAAGATTCTAAAATTTTTCTATTTGACAGCTAATCATTTGACTTGTGTTTATATGTGTTTCTTGCTGGAAAGCTCCCATTATTATTATAATTATTATTATAATTATTACAGTATAAAGAGAGCAAATAAAGAAAAAGATATCTCAATACTTATTGGTTACGCCATATTGTTTTTTTACATCAATATACGCGAGTCAGATCCGAGCCGTATTGTTCACTCTCTATATAAAATACCTAGCCCGCGCTCGAGCCTGAAACATCTAGCACGCCATAGAGTGGTCCGCGGGCAACGGACGGTGACGGACCAATCGCGGCTCGCCGCGGTGGGCCAATCGCGGCCGCGCCTTGTATCCCGTTCGAAACGCACGTGCGGGCCGCGGGACCGCGCGCGCTCGAGTAGTGCGTCGCCCCGTGAAAAAGTCGGACGTCGTCGTCGCTCTCCGCGTCTCGGTCGGCACCGAACGGACGATTCAAAAGGGTGTGCGTGCTCGTGATCGAATAATAAATCGGGACGAGGATTAGCGAGAGAGCGAAGAGACGGACGGAGAAGAGGAGTTTCGCGTCAACTGAAGAGAGGCAACTACAAGATACAGAAAACGCTCGTTATATTATACATATATATACATATATATACACCCCGTCGTCATCCTCATCGTTTTCTTCTCCTTCGTCGTCGTCGTTGTCGTCGTTTAAATGGTCGCGGAAATGGCAGTCGGCGCGCAGATAGATACGTCTGAACGGGACACCGGTAACTCGACGATTCCCTTGCTGAACGGCGACCAGAACCACGAGACCGCAAAGACGACTGGTTAGTATAACCGATAACACGCATCCTCGCGCGCGATAACGAGCGCACGAGGCTGGTCGTGGTGCTTTTTAAGGTTAATCGTCGCGTGAGAGAATCATCGGCGTTTTTAAATTCATTTCAATTTGGTTATGTAATCTTCGACGAGGACGACGTGACGTCCGCGTCTCGCATCGTCTCGTCGACGATGTCTCTCAATGAGATTCTCTCTCATTTTCGTCGTTCATCGCTCGTCGTTCACCTCGAACGCAAAAGCCGGCCTCGATCGAGCGAGCGAGGGGGTGAGAGAGGGAGCGAGATAGAGCGCGTTATGTAACCTCGCGAATTGCGCGAATCTCGACGCACGGGGTCATGTGAGTCGCCATCGTTGGAGGGGGTGGCAAAAGGAGGAAGGGAGAAGGGTCTAGCAGAAGACGTATCGCCGGCGCCAACGGACGAATCTCATCTCCAGGGTTACGTTCGAAATTCTCGTAGCGCGTTATTTATTCATTAATCGGAATATGATCTTTTCACTTTGATTGATCGATCAAGCTCTACTTCATCGAGTAGATTCTCGAATGCAACAACCGGTCGTTCCGGTTCGCACACGAAAGTACGTTTTTTCTCCTGAGTCGTCGAATGCTGGAACATATTTGTATTTAGTTTTTATCTGGCTTCCACCTTTGATGAATCCGTAGCTGAGATATTTATTAGAATGTTTTCCTCGTGATACTTTTCGAAATAGTCGGAGGTACTAATGAAAGGACAAACTTGTCCAACTAATTTGTGAAAGTATCCAATGTTTCGAAAGAAATAATCATCAAGATGCAAGTGAGAAGAACCTTCGAATAGTCGAAGTATTCGCGGAATATATTTTTCGAGAATAATCTCATTGTCAGAATTTAAAAGATCGTCGAAATTACTTGGCGAAGAATTCATCGAGATCTTGGAGCTGCTCTATTCCAAGGTACCTCAAAGATATTTTCCAACATAACTTGAGCAGATAGAATGATAAAAAATTATATGAAGTAGGGATTCTAAATTTGTTTTGCCTTTCTAGGTTCTACATAGATTGTGCGATAATTAATCAGTGATAAGTAATATAAATTACACTATTAAAATTGATGTAAACTTCAAAATATTTACAAGAGATCTTCCCAATGAAAATATCAAGAATTTCAAGAAAATTAATTGCAATAATTATTGGAAAATATCAAGAAGTTAATTGCAATCATTGGAAAATATCAAGAAAATTAATTGCAGTAATTATTGGAATCCTAAATGATAAGAACGATAACGTTCTTCATACTTTCTTCAATCTTTTTAGGAAATGGTCAACGTTTATCTAGGTTTGGATATATCAAGATTTACACAAGACGATCAAACGCACGCACACATGCTGTAATCGCGTTTACGTAATACATTTTCAGTTATGCTCGTGTCTCGATTGGAAGCTCAGATCGCTTTTTTTCTTCTTGTTTTTAGTCGATATGTACAACTGTCGTTGTGTAACGTCGATATTTACGACGAATCTTGATTTTGAGGACGAAGAAGCGACCGTATGATGCAACATCGTTGTCTAAGACGGACGAGAATGTTCGATGCCGAGACGTCGACGTAAAGTTTAACGTCGTCGAGTTCTCGCGATACGAATCTCAGCATAATACTACGGGATGTAACATTCTAGGATAAACAATAACGAATGATGCAACATCGACACTTGTGAGTGACGTCAATGTATGGCCGTCGGGACTCGAATAAGAGATATTCTAGATAACAAGAGGGCCAGCTGTGATACGTACTCCAATAGCGTAAAAACAATCTTTGAAACGAATGGAAAGCGATGTCCATGAATACAAGGCGCTTCTCTGGAATCGACCTCGTCAACTTCGTGCGGGGCGAAAATATAATTTCTCTAATTTTTCTGTCGCGCTTTTTCTATCGCGCGTTTTCTTTTCTTTTTTCTTGATGTATAAATAGAGGAAATGAAAAAAAGGATGACGAAACACATGTTTTCCTTCTAAGAATTGACTTTGATTGACGGGAATATGCATTTTCGAAGGATACAGGACACCTGCAGATAGACTTTCTTTCCGCCGAAACATGTTTTTCCTCAACAGACATGGAACAGATGAAAAACATGTGTATGTTAATGATCGGCTGGAAAATTCCTTGTTTGCATTTCTTATTGTCAGGATAAGTATCTAGAAACAAATCCAATTTATCTTCTTACAATCTTGTAAATTGTTCTATCTTTTTTATATTTAAAAAAACGAAATTTTATTAAAAATTATAAAATTTTAAGATTGTGTTGCATCAGAAAATCTGGAAAATTCGATAAACTTGATTGGACGAGGAAGCGATCGATCTGTATAATCGTTCGTATATTTCCGTAAGTTTAATGAAAAACGAGAGGGGAAAAAAACTTCGTTTTAACGCATTCTCATTCATCTGTATCGAGGGAACAATTGCGATCCGGAATCGCAATGAAGAAGAAGCACCTACCGATAACGGGGGTTATCGGCGCCGGCTATTATACTGTTTTACACGCAGTATTCTACGTCAAACAGACATCCCTCGATGACAATTGAATCAAGCAAACTGATGTAGTTGCAATACGATTGAAGATTGAAGTTCGTACTTTCACCTTTGAGTTCGCGTGTTTAAATCGATCCTCCTCACGTGTCTCAGACTCTTCGTGAACCCGCATACGGTTAACCCGTCGTTTGCGCTCTATATTTAGCTGTAAATACTATATAGTCGTTTATCTACCGCATATCTATATCTTTGACGCCTTTTTATATTTCATCCATTTTTCTACTTATTTAATTCCAATTTTGAAAAGATACATGGCCGTAAAATTTAAAAACAATTGAAAAACATCCAAATTATGTGTAAAATTAGAAACGTCTTTTAAATTTCTATATATAAGTTTCTAGTTATGTATATTTTCAAAAAATATACACATTTATTCTTAATTTATTCAATATTTTTATAAAAATTTTAATTAAATANATAATTTTTAATTAATTTTTTTTTAAGTTTTATTTTTTAACATGAATATGTGTGTTTGCTATATTTTTTATATTTTCATATTTTTACTTCAAGTTTATCGGAAAATTGTCAAAGTATCGTCTTCTGATATTTTCGGCTGTTTGTTATTAAATTTAAAAAGAAATTATCAGGAAAAATTGATAAAAATTATCAAATTACATTATCGTTTAAGGACGCGAATAATCGATCGGTTTCTAACTTTTGCCGGGGTCAACGGCTGATACGATACTGCATCGATGCTATTCAGGCCCGTGAATCAAATTAAGCGGCGGTTTAATGGCGAGAAGAAAAGCGCGACGATTCATGAGCATTGATAATCTTTCAACTGTGAACATTTTATTAATGATATTAAAGCCGTTTTCGCGCTATAACGTGAATGAAACCGATGATGCCATTCGTCAACGTGCTGTGTTTTAGCGACAGGTGCATAAAACATCGCGCCCGTGATAATTGTTAATAATAAAACTAACGTTCTGTCGCTCAGTAGATCTCGTCTAATAAAGCTCACTGCTTTTTTAACTCACTTCATTTGTCAATCATTAAGAGCCGAGTTACCTCCGATTGCGTCTTATCTTAATAACTTTTTGTTTTGAACCTAATTACTATGATAACTAGTAATATAGATAAGTGTAATAAAACTTTATTTCCTTTTTTAGTTAACAAAAGTTCCTACAAAGGTAATTTTTTTTGCTTTTATTTAGCAAGAAATCTAACATTTATTTGCAGAAAAATTATAATTGTTATATTATTTAAAAAATAAAAAGATTTATATATAAACAGTAGCCGATTACTTTTTTCTTCCAAAGAAACATTGTTTCAAAAGTTGACACGTTTCTACAACATTCTACATATGTTATTTCTAAAAAAAAAAAAAAAAATATTTCTTTATAATACGCATATGTAATCATCGCGGTTTTCTTCTCGTATTTACAGACCTTTCTCACATTATTTTGTGATAAGATGCCTTTTATATCTACATCCAATTACACACCCGCGTTGTAATAGGAGTACAATAATTCTACACAGAGTGACAGTGGAAGAGTACACCGATAACGCGGTGATAAGACAGGCAATATACGCGCCAGCAAAAGAAAAGTGAAAAAAAAAAAGAAATTATGTGTGTATTCAAGCATTTAAAACTTAAAATTTTGTTGTCCAATCATCAATTATCGGAGATAATTCTTTGTTTATGATAGATTTAATTATATTACATCTTTAATTTTTACCGTATGTAATTTAACTGTTATTTATAAACGTAAAGAGAGCTATTGAGTTATGAAACAATTCTCTTATCAGTCTCGTGATTCGCTTCAATCAGTGGAGTAAGTTATGAAAAAAGGGTATTTTTTCGTGATTATAACAAAAATATATACCATTTTTTATCGAAAGAAAAATCAATATTGTTTAAATTAACACAAATTAATATAATTAATAAGTTTAACAATGATATAATAAAAACTAAGCGCAATTATAAGAAATACAAGAAATATTACATATAAAGTGGAAGAATGAAATATTATTATAATGCTTATAATTGTAAAAAACACATTTGAATCGATAAGAACTAATTTAATAAGAATTAGCCTTCTAACATTTAAATGGATTAAATTATAGGAAGTTAGAGATACAGAGATAAAAAATTGTACCGAGAGGATTAAATATATATATTTTTGTAATAAAAGAAGTCTAATGATGCAATAGGCATCTTTATGACCTTTTTTATTGCTTCGAAATGGATGTATAAAGCAAACATGTGTTCCGATATACATAAATAGGACGACATTTCGGCGCGTACTATTTATTTTGTAAACGCATCGGTGAATGTGAGTGTCGAGAGAATGCGTTTGAAAGCGCATCCGACAGCACGAGACCACTCGGAGACTACGGTGTATTTATATCTTTCTCGTGAACGCGTCGCAACTCCTTTTCAGTGTCAGGGCGAGAGCGAGTTTATGTATTATTCTATAATTTATTCTCAATTTGATTTATAATCGGTCGTATTTTATTTACTATTAAAAACTACATATTTTCTTTATGTATGTAGTTAGTATGAGTTCTTATCGTGAAATATATATTGAATAGAAGTTTTTATCCGCAAATCTACGCATGTTATATTTTAAATAAATTTAAGGAGAAATTATAATATTAGAAAATTTAGATAAATTTGAATTTAAGCCATAAAGATACAAACTTCGATAAAATTACACATGCGCATCTGTAAATTGATATCGACATTAATAAATTTAATTGGAACTTTTATATAAAATGTATAAGATTGTAAAATAATTCGCGGAATTGTTCCTCTTATAGACGGTGAATTACATTTTCAGAGGTGAAACGGGAAGCAGAAGAGAGCGGAAGCACGAGTTCTGCTGGCGAGAACGTTGTGGAAAAGGGAGAAGTCGAGGCGACGAAGGAAAGCGAGAAAGAGAAAGACAACAAGAATAATGATGGGAACGAGAAGGAAGCGGACGTCGCTGATAAGGAGAAGGATCCCGCGAATGAGCAAGAGGTCGTCTTCATTCAGGATATGGGCTTCACCGTCAAGATCGTCAGCCCAGGTTCTGAACCTTTCGACATACAAGTCTCCAGCATGGAGCTTGTGCAGGTAATTGTTCGTTTCTCGATGATGCAATATTGTTGTCCACACACTATATGAAGAAGAATATCATTTATTTTATGTAATAATAAATTATTTTATTATTTTTTTACTTTATATCGTATTTATATTAAATTTATGGGGAGATTTTTAAGAAATATTCTGCTTGGCATCAAATTTAAAAAAGTTTTACTTGAAATTTACCAATATCTTTTTCTTTTTCAGGAAATCCATCAGCTACTCATGGATCGCGAAGACACGTGCCACCGCACATGCTTTTCACTACAGCTGGATGGCAACACATTGGATAACTTTGCCGAGCTGAAGAATATCGAGGGCCTGAAAGATGGTTCGATCATTAAGGTAGTGGAAGAGCCGTACACGATGCGGGAGGCACGTATACACGTGCGACACGTGCGCGATCTTCTCAAGTCCGTAGATCCCGCGGACGCTTACAATGGCGTCGAGTGTAGCAGTCTATCATTTCTCAATGCCGTTACAAACGGCGATATCTTAGAGAAGAAGAAGACCCGAGCGGATTCGGTCGATTGCACGCCGCCTGATTACATCATACCCGGATGTAAGGATAGGCCCTTGTTTCCTCTCCAGCCGCAGATGAAAGAGCAAAAGTGCCCGCCGTGTCTAAAGGTTAACAATTTTTGATTAGTTGTAGATTAATAATCTGATAGATAAGAATTGAAAGAAGAAAAAAGGAATAAATTGACCATATCAGATTATAATTAGTGACGTTCTTCTGATATACGTACTTTATCTTACTCAAAGCAACATAGATTTATTATTCCAAGGAAAAATCTTTCAAAGATGATTAAACAATAAATTTTTACATTTATAATATTCAAAATTGTATACTCTCATTTGAAGGAGAGAGAGAAAGAGATAAACTAAACTTTTAAATTTTTTGCATTTTTTTAGGTCCTAACAACGTCAGGATGGAATCCACCGCCTGGCCATAGAAAGCTTCACGGCGATTTGATATATCTGCATGTAGTCACATTGGAGGACAAACAGTATTATTTGACCGCATGTGCTAGAGGTTTCTTTGTCAACCAGTCGACCAAAGAAGTGTTCAATCCTAAACCAGCCACGCCTAGTCACTTATGTCACAGCTTGATCGAGCTGTTGAATCAACTTAGTCCGGCCTTTAAACGAGGATTTGCCGCTATGCAACGACGCAGGACTCAAAGGCATCCCTTCGAGCGAGTGGCAACACCTTATCAACTGTACGCTTGGAGTGCACCGCCAATTGAGCACACCATCGACGCCATTCGTGCAGAAGATAGTAAGTTCTAGAATAAAAAGAAAACTTTGAGATTTATTTCAACAATAAAAAAAAAAAAGAAAAGATCCACGATCAGAATCTGAATATGCCTGAATATTAGTGCAGATAATACTAGTTTTATAATAAAAAATTTCAATAAAACTTGATTGCATTTATGTTTAAAATAAAGCACTATACACACATACACATACATTACAAAAAATTAATCGCTTGGAGATGTTAATGGATATAAATGTTTATAGGAAACGCTCTTTCTCTGTAGAATAAGTAAATCAGATTTCCGACTAAATCAGATAATCAATCCTCTTTTATTTATTCTAGCTTTCTCTTCAAAGTTGGGGTATGAAGAACATATCCCGGGCCAAACTCGCGATTGGAACGAAGAACTGCAAACTACGAGGGAATTACCACGTAAAAACCTTCCTGAAAGATTACTACGGGAACGTGCCATCTTCAAGGTGTGCTATGTATCTCTCATACACATTAACATGTGATACAAAATAGTATATTGATACAATAAAATTAAAATAATATCATAATAGTAACGCCAATTTTTGTCTTTAATAATTTCAACAGTAAATAACATAATGATTCTTATAATTAAATTTTTTTTCCTCTTAATTATCTATAAATCGTTAGGTTCACAGCGATTTTGTGGCCGCCGCCACTCGTGGAGCGATGGCGGTGATCGATGGTAACGTAATGGCGATCAATCCCGGTGAGGAAGCCAAAATGCAGATGTTTATCTGGAATAACATCTTCTTTTCTCTCGGCTTCGACGTGCGCGATCATTACAAAGAGTTGGGCGGCGACGCTGCAGCTTTCGTTGCGCCCCGCAACGATCTACAAGGTGTCCGGGTATATGCGGCCGTGGATTTGCCTGGTCTTTATACTCTCGGCACCGTTGTCATAGATTATAGGTGCGTTTCTCAGATTTTGTTTAACGTTATTTTTTCTATTGATTCTTTAAGTTAATAGCTTGTTTCTCGTGACCTTTGTCTCATAGAGGCTACCGCGTCACAGCGCAATCTATCATACCAGGTATACTGGAACGTGAACAGGAACAATCGGTGGTCTATGGATCCATCGACTTCGGAAAGACAGTTCTCACACATCCCAAGTACCTTGAATTGGTAAGTGAACAGGATATATGAGCAGGATCTATATAGTGATAAATCAGTATAAAGAATAGTAAGATAATAAAAATAAAAACAGATTTTTTTTTGCGTTGACAACGTATATATAAAAGCTGTAAAAGAGTCATTAATCAATTCACCTAATTTCAAATAATCTTGTTTATTAAAAGCTTATATACAAATGTAATTAATTTTTTGTTAAATTATTTTGATCGATTTTATTGTCGTTATAATCATTTTGTATGTATTGTCATTCCATTGTAACTTTGACACTTAAGTATTTTTGATATTCACGTTTAGCTGAATAAAGCTGGTCAACAGTTAAAGATCCTTCCTCATAAAGTTATCAACGATGCCGGCGAGGAGATCGAACTTTGCAGCAGTGTAGAGTGCAAGGGTATCATTGGTAACGATTCGCGGCATTATGTACTGGATCTGTTGAGAACTTTTCCGCCCGATGTAAATTTTTTGAAATGTGAGTCAAAGAACCACCGACTCTATAATGTTTCTATGAAAGAAATTATGTACATATATGCTTTTATTTACTTTAAAAAAAATATTTCTCCTATTCAGTGGAAGGTGTGGAGCTAAGCAAGGAAGCGCGAGCCTTGGGCTTCCCGGTGGAGCATAAACACAGACTGGCCTGCTTACGCCAGGAGCTCATAGACTCGTTTGTTGAGGCCAGATATGTCCAATTTATCAAGCATGCAGCTGTTCATCTTCAACAGCTCACATCAGCTAGAAGATCTCAGAAGGAGAAAGAGGCACCTACCAAAGTAAACAGACTTCTTTCCTTGTCATAATTTATATTTTTATATTTATTACTCAAAATATTGTGAACAATTTGGAATAATGATTGTAGAAAGTGGTGAGAATGAATAATTTTGGTTTTAGGAGGATAAAAAGGAGGATTCGACTGCCATGGTGACAGTGGATAGTAACAAGGAAGATTGCGCCCAATCGTTGATAGAAGCCGATGAAGCTAAAAAGATCGTCGAGAGCATTACGGATTCGATCACAGGTGGCGAGAAACAAGAATGTGCGTCTTCAAAGATACGAAATAGCCTTTAACATCAATATTGATAAGAAATTTATTTAATAGTAAATATTTGAATATTAGGACAAAAGAAAAAAAAGATATGACAATATAAATTGCAAAGAAACTGTTACAAAAAAACAAGTTTGGTAAAGAATCTTATCTTTGAATGATAGTGGAGGAGAGTACCAAGGAGATAGTGCGAAGAGCTGCGGCGGCGGTGGGCAGTCTACGAGATGCCGAGTTCGACGTGAGATTTAATCCGGATGTGTTCTCGCCCGGCGTTAAACATCCGGATTTCAATGGCGATGATCTGAAAAAACAGAAGCAATTAGTGAAGGACGCCGCGGATTTCTTACTTACAATGCAGCTACCGACGTTCGTAAGTTCGTTGCAAAGTTGTAGTTAAATTCCTGCAATTGGTTTGATATATTTATAATATAATTGTATGTTTCTTTTTTAATTAAATTTTTATTCTATAGATACGAGAGTGCCTAGACCATACAGCGGCTGCGATGGATGGCAGCACGTTGGTGGAGGCTCTCCATGGTAGAGGCATCAACGTTCGTTATCTCGGTAAATTGGCGGCCATGTTAGCCGCAGTGCCACAGCTACAGTATCTTAATCGCATTGCTGTATCCGAACTGATTCTTCGATCGGCCAAACACATTTTCACTTCTTACATGCAGGTGTGTGTGTATGTACGTGCATGTATACAACATTAAATTGTTTAAATATAAATTTATTTATTTTGCTTATTTTATCAAGTGTATAAAATTACCTATCTTATTAAATATAAAATTATATTATTTTCTCATTAGATATCATAGAACAGAATTATACATACATATATATCCATCTTGCAGGGTACGGAACTGATGGGCCTGTCCGCAGCCGTCAGCCACTTTCTTAATTGTTTGCTGTCCTCGGCGCAAATGATACACCCACAACAAAATTTGGAAGAGGTTAGTCATGTGGCAGTTAAATTAATGTGAAATTATTAATTAATTCTCTCACGACACAATAATCGCGCGCGCGATAGAGTCAAAATTTTATTAATTATAAATCAACGACAAATAACCAAGAGTACAGAAACAGTTATTGTAGAAAAAATTATATTTCCTATATAATTGAATCAGTAGTTGATGTAATTTTCTGTATCAGCTTCAGAGCAAAACTGCGAAACGCCGTAATAAACGCAAGGGTAGAAACAACGGGCCGCAACAGTCAGAAGTGGAGTGGGCATCGTTGACGCCTAAATCATTGTGGCAGCAAATTAAAAATGATTTGAAGGCCTATTATGACTGGGAAACGCCAAGTCCAGAGTCTCTGGACGCCACAATAGAGCATTTCCATTTGCAAAAGATTTCGCTGCTGCGTGGCTTCTGCATCAAGACCGGCATTCAGATATTGCTACGCGAGTACAATTTCGAGAACAAGAACCGGGCGACGTTTTTCGAGGATGATATAATGAACATTTTCCCCGTAGTCAAGCATATCAACCCTAGAGTAAGTCGCCGATTTTGAATGAATGAAAAATATATTAGTAGCATAATAACTTTAAAATTTTAGAAAAAATAATCGATTTATGGAGAAATAATTCAAGACAGCTATAAAATATTAATCATCGAAAAAAGTTTTTTTGAATTCGAACTGATTTTCGGTTGAATCTCTAAAAAAATTAAAGAAAGAGCCTAAAGAATAATTGTCATTCAAGTTAAAATTATAGGATTAAACAAAATGATTTTAATTTTAACTCGATTTCTTTCAGGCTAGCGATGCGTATAATTTTTATACAACCGGTCAAAGCAAGATTCAGCAAGGATACTTGAAGGATGGATACGAATTGATTAGCGAGGCATTAAATCTACTGAATAATGTTTACGGCGCAATGCATCCCGAGATCGCACAGTGTCTTAGAATGCTGGCGAGATTGAATTACATAATGGGCGATCACGCGGAGGCGCTCGCTACTCAGCAAAAAGCAGTTCTTATGTCAGAGAGGGTCAACGGTATTGATCATCCGTACACCATTACAGAATACGTAAGTTATATCAATCATTTTAAAATACAAATGGCAATTTTATAATTCAAATAATGATAACATAAAATAAAAAAATATAATTCTCTGCGTATTTTATACAGATTACATTATAGAAAGTTATATATTGTATAAGTATATAAAAAAAGATAATTTATAGACTAATATTAGTAAATAATGATATAATGGTTATTTAACAATTCTCTATAACAATGTGTGATTATTATATTTTGTTCTCTATACAGATACATCTCGCCTTATATTCCTTTGCCAATGGCCAAGTATCTGTATCATTAAGATTACTGTATAGAGCACGTTATCTGGCATTATTAGTCTGCGGCGAGGATCATCCAGAAGTGGCCTTGCTCGATGTAAGTCTAAAAATGACTGGTGTTCTCAATGAGAATGTATAACTTTATAAATTTTCAAAAGATTAACGTTTAAATTGCAATGTGTCTGATTTTTTCAGAGCAACATCTCGTTGATCCTACACGCGGTCGGCGAATATGAGCTGTCACTGCGCTTTTTGGAACACGCGTTAGCTCTGAATCTACGTTATCACGGTCCGCGTTCGCTTAAGGTCGCAGTGTCGTATCATCTGGTGGCACGCACGCAGTCGTGTATGGGCGATTTCCGGGCGGCACTGAACAACGAGAAAGAAACGTACGCGATCTACAAGCAACAGCTAGGCGAGGAGCATGAGAAGACGAGAGAAAGCAGCGATTGTTTGCGTCATTTGACCCAGCAGGCGGTTGTGTTGCAAAAGAAAATGAATGAGATTTACACGGGCAAGTCTGGCGTGAGTTTGCCGCCGATTCAGGTGCAGCCGCCTAGCATGGGCTCTGTGCTAGACATGCTCAACGTCATCAACGGCATTCTCTTCGTGCAAATTAGTCAGCAAGACATCGATAACTTCAAAGCGGAGATCGAAAAACGGCAGAAGGAACAATCGCAGTTAGATGGCGGCGAGGCTGCCAAGACCGAAAAGGATGTGAAGAAAGACGACAAAGAGACGAAGAAAATATCCACGACGACGGAGAAGAAAGTCGAGAAAGTCGAACAAAAAATGGAGATAAAAAAACTGGAAACTAGCAAAACTGGGACTTTGGAGGCGGTCTTGGCGGCGGAGAGCTGAACTTTTCGCTTGTCGACAACGAACACCAGTAGTCTTTCTTTTTTCTTTTTTTAAGCCCTAGTCCCTCGTGGAAATAATTTTGCGCGAGGATTGTCGTGTGTACGGTAATATATTATATTATATATTACACATATACTTGATATTTGCACTGTTTTTGTTATATCGTCTAAAAGCAGTTGAGGACTCTCGAAAAGAGACAAGATGCAAAATAATGTCGTCATAGTGTGTTCGCGAAAAAAAAAGAGAATACATAACACATTCGCGCGAAAGATTGAATTTTCACGCGAAGAACGCGCACACTTATTTGTTATACTAAATGTATATAACAAGGAGATAAGGAAGTGCCATGTCGTTTAAAAAGCAATCTTCAATACGAGCGTTTTAAATGTCTTAAATGTAAGAGGTATTGTACCCTCTTCGCATCACAAAATCAAAGAGCAATGTGATTTCTTCACTTGTGCGCGATCATATATTTCTTTCCTTTTTTTAAGGGCCAACTGTTATTTCATCGAAACGATTTAATAGCGTTGAAAAATTAATCGAATTTATAGTAAGTTCTGAAGATAGTCTTTTCTTTCTTTTTTCCTCTATTATGTATACCACGTTTTATTAGTCCTTTTTGTCAAATCGCCATGTGCTGTTTTGGCTTTCGTTGTTACTAGTCGCCATCAATAAAAAAAAAGAAAGCACCACGATATACCTAAATATATGCGTATAATCTATAATCTTTCTTCATTCATTACAGCAATCACATGAAAGTGCTTCCTCTTGTACGAATATCATTGAATTATATATTTAGGTTTCTATTCCTAAAATATAAAACTACATTATATACCCTCAACACTTTCAGTCAGTGATGATAAGCATACGCATAGTATTGTTACCTCCATATTCGTTATAAGGACACAATAATTGATCGTTAATTGAGTCACCGCGATCATATAATAATCGATTTCAAATTTCGCGAATAGAACCGAAAGTAAATAAACGAGAAATAATTGTTACTGTGCTGTTAATATTAATTTTTGTTCGTCTCGCCTGTTCCGCGGCCTGAATTGAAATTTTTCGCCGCGGTTTGATCAATGCGATATAGTGATTCATAATTCAGCTTGCAATAGTGATAGTAAAGATAAACGCGAAGTTTTTAATTATCGAAATAGCGCCGATTAATTTGTTTCAGCGTTCTTATAGATTTTAAGCGAAACATTTTAAGTCCGACGTGAGAGCATCAATATTTTTTTTCGCAGATTTTAAAAGTACGATTGATCAATCGTCAATGTAACGCGATGTATTGTCGCGTCGATAATTATTGTCTCGGACGAATTCATTTTCCCACATTGCAATAATAAAAATAATAATAAATTAGTATATTACACTTGTTAGCGAAATTGTACTATAAAGAGAGAGAGAGAGAGAGGCTTTCCGACCGCAGCTATAGTATATCTAGACCATAGACATAGTTCTTCTTCTTCTTCTTTCTTTTATGGCTGGTTGGGCATTAGTCGTGTACTATAAAGAGAGAGAGAGAGAGAGAGGAGTATAATAATTATAAGGTCTATAATATTATACATAAATAAAAAAAGTTACGGATTTGATTTACATATACCATCCTGTTACAGCAGACTTAAACATGTTGCATGAAATAAATCGTTTTATATGTACAATGCAGCGTCGATCTAATTTAAGAAGTTGCCAGTAATTTACTTTCTGCATGTCTTGTTTATTATCCAGACGGATCTTTTTTATTCTCACTATAATCGTTCCAATGGAATAGCGACATCTTCATCAGAAATTTTCCTTCTCTTTTCTCTTCTTTTTTTAACAGATTTTGATTGATTAACGAGAATCTTTTCTCTTACGTCCAATTTATTTATCAAATACTGTCGTAGTGATTGTAATGCGTCCAAACCGCCGCTTCCATTTTCAAATATCATCCATATCCTAAATATATCACTTTGAACAATTGCCTCTTCACATTCAGAACTTTCAATCTCTATCCAGAGCTTACAAGTAAGTAATGGAACGCATTCAAATACTTTTTTATCAGAACTTTCTTCATTTTCAGCCCTAATTGAGGATATTTTATCTGAAGAATTTTTATTATCTTGCTTGATATCATTAGGTTCTTTTATGATAGATATAGAGTTTGAATATTCTCCAGTCTTTACATTCACTTTGTTATGCTCTTCATCTTTATCTTTAACTCTTTTCAGCGCAATCTGTTGCGCTAAACGTCGTTTCCTGCGCGCGTGCTCCCATGATTTCTCTCTAACAGTTATTCGACCTAACCAGCTGTCAGAACTATCTTCAGGAATGGATAGGTCTTGTAATTTAATCTGTTGCAATGAGAAATTTAATTATAGCTAATTAAAACTAATGAAACTCCTTAAATTATATATAATTCTTAATTAGTGATAATCGATAAACAACACTATAAGAAATAATGCATTACATTTAATTCTTCTGCCGTTGTTCTTAAAAAACTGACTAAATTTTCCATACAAGAAAATTTATCGTTCTTAGGAAATGTTATCAAAGTTTTAGAATCTTTCTTTAAGGATTGTACAATGGATTTTCCACTTTTTCTGATAACAGGTGCGCTACTCAGGTCCAAAACGTTTTTTGGTAGGAAGCTCCAAGCCAAACCCCATCTGTTGACAAACACAATCTTAATCTCTAAAATCAATATTTTCTTTATTAAATAATTTAATAAACAATAATAGCGTAATTAATTAAGAAACTAATTTATCTAAACTTGTGCTAATAATCCATGTATCAAAACAGAGAATTTTAATAATAAAATCGAACAAGCAAATTTTAAAAATATTAATTTATATAATATTTACCGTGTTGTGTGACCTTGACAAAACTCCGTCCATGTTATGTTCTCTATATTTTTCGATCTTATTAGTTTTTTAAGGTCGAACAAATCGACTTTTCTACCTATCATCGTAGTGTAGATCTTTATTCGATTTCCCAAATCGATACTCTCATCTATCATCCTTGTCACAAAGGCTATTTCGCCACCCGTGGTTTTCAATTCACTATCGTTTCCGCTAGGCGCGTTTCTCGGTGGCAAAACTTTCGCGATTCTTTCGCCATTGTCATCGCTCTCGAAAAACGGCGGATTGCACATCGAAAAGTCGTAAATTTTATCATCTTCCATCGCATCCTTAAAAATTCCATCGGAATTTACTGTAACTACTACATTAAAGAAAAATATCTCATTATATAAATTTAAGTTTTTTAGTTTTAATATCATAAGCATCTTCATCTTTGTTTTTTTTTCAAATGAAATAATATCTTTAATAGCACCAACCTTTAATTAAATTTTGCAGGTTGTTTCTTGCTATACATTTCTCTGCATATTCCATGCTTTTCTTATCTACTTCTGTGCCAATTACATGACATCCGTAGATTTTTGCCAGCAACAAAGCATATATACAAATTGCTCCTGTCCCTATTTAAAACAAATTTATTTAAAAATCTTAAGCAATTCAAAACATTATATTAAATTGTAAAAGTGAAGAACATCTACTAAACAATATCATTACTCCATTCTAAAAAAAAGCATGATTTTAAGAAGCTATCTTTATTTTACCGCTGTGATTGACTTTGTGATACTTATTATTCTTATATTAAAAATTTCTTCTTTCCTCTGCTTTTTAAGTGTATGATTTGAAAGCTTCAAATATGTTTCATAAAAGTGCTACAAAGAGGCTTTTATATTTACCAATGTCAATGCCTGCAATCTTATCCATTTCCAATTTGAAATGCTTCATCAAATCTTCTATCCATAGAACGTAATTCATGCGCAGAGTGATTGCTGGATTCAGATTGTCTGGTGGAATACTTACATGTAGATCAAAGTCATGCTTCAAAAGTGTCTCTGTAAGTACACGCAGACTCTTCTTGTTTTGAAAGTCAATTCTAACTTTTCCCGCAATGTCCTAAATAAGAAATATGAATAGAATGCTATAAACAAGCATTTTATTTACTTTGCACATTGTCCCATCTAAGTGCATTATATGTTTATATTCCTATAAATGTAAAAGTTAGAGAAAAAAAAAGAGTAAGAAAAAATTTTTTTAATGTACACATTTTTTTTCTTTTTCAATATGTCATTTATATGAACATACACTTTTTGATATTGTTTCCTTTTTTTTATCAAGCCACGCATTATATATGGACTAATATTACATTAGATTATACTTGCATAATATTACTGTTTTTTGTAAATTGCCAAAGACAGCATACCATGATTGCAATTTTGCGAAACTCCGGATACAAGACCGCGAGTTGCTTGTAATCCGGCGGTTTCTTGTATTTATTCCTTGGATGAATATATTTTTTCACGTTCATCCTGATATCGAAAAGAGCCGTTTCGTTGAATACGATTAATTACAATTGCCAATCGATCATAGTTGAGCTAATTCAGGGCTGTCTAACCGCCAGGAGCGGAAGAGCAACCTATCCCACTCTTAAGGGTCGGCAGGAGTGACGGACAAACTCCGAATTGATATTGGAGACCTCGCGCGGTGACAATGCTCTATATACCTAACCATCCATAAGGCTCAACATACTATTCAAAAATTCTGAAATTATTGCAAAGTTGAAATAGGAACATGGAAAATTTTTTACATTAAACACGCATAAAATAAAGACTCATAGATAACAGTAATATCAATTATCTTTTTCTTTTTTCAAAAATAAACATTTTTTACCATCAAAATCTTTCTTCAAAAGATAGCAGGCGTTTCCAATTAACGGAAGTGGTTTTGGGCCCGGCAGACGTCTAGCGGCTTTAATTATGGGCAATTGACGACGATAATTTAAGACAGAATAACTTACAACGTACTTATGTTTTCTCACCTGTTTAACCATCATTAAAACAGACAAAGCGGTAGTGTATAAATATTTAGTGAACAGAAATACGCAGTTAATATGCAGCAATTATTTTATTAAACATAATGTGTATTTTGAATTGATAATTACCAGGAACTACACACACATATACACACACACATAAAAAGGAAAGAAAAAAGAATGTTAATAAAAAAGAAGAAAAAACGTTTCGATAACTAATGCAAATTAGGTATAATGACTTGAAAGAAAGAGACATATACATAAGAGTTTTGAAATTCTACTTGTATATTGAAATTATATGTCTAATGAAATTATATGTATAAAAATCTGTAATTAGCTGCAAGGTATAAAAAAATTTGCATTTATTCGATGCGTTTGTCAGATTCTGCATCAGATAATGTTCCATCTGTATTCCTGTTTGATTTCTTCAATATTTATTAATAATATTTAAATATTTGAATTTTAGCAAGTTTTAATCAAGGCGGTACTTGATTTTAATAAATATTAAAATCAAGAATCCGAGTAAAATGGCAAAAGAGCCACACGCAGTTTTTAGGGCGCAAAGATATATAATTTAAACCAAAAAATAAATTAAAAAATTAGAGAATTTCTTTAATTACATGATTCCGTGTGCACACGGGTGATATTTCCGAACGCAGCCTTAATGATGTTTAAACAAGTGAGAAAACATATTAGATTGAAACGCTTATTTCTTTTTGCAAGATAATTTTTTGTTTTAATTGATTATTATAGTCTAAGTGCCGGTCTACAATAGATGATTTAAGCCCTAAGCCTTAAGAAATTGACTAATCACAGTCGGGTATTCTCCTATTATACTTGATTGTGATTGGTCAATTTCTTAAGGCTTAGGGCTTAAATCACCTATTGTAGACTGGCACTAAGGGCCGTGGCACATAAAAAAACTTAAGCAGTAAGACTTAAAACGTAAGCGAATTGACCCTCTTTTGCCATTTTACTCGGATTCTTGATTTTAATCGTTTAAGAGCCTTACTTTTATATCTTTTTAATAAATATTGTATTTCCTGGTAATTATCAATTCAAAATGCACATTATGTTTAATAAAATAATTGCTGCATATTTACTGCGTATTTCTGTTCACCAAATATTTATACACTACCGCCTTGTCTGTCTAAGGCTGCGTTCGGAAACATCACCCGTGTGCACACGTGCGTCCTTCTATCTTTGTTTAACTTTTGATACATAACAAAGATAGAATGACACTCGTGTGCACACGGGTGATATTTCCGAACGCAGCCTTAATGATGTTTAAACAAGTGAGAAAACATATTAGATTGAAACGCTTATTTTTTTTTGCAAGATAATTTTTTGTTTTAATTGATTATTATAGTCTAAGTGCCGGTCTACAATAGATGATTTAAGCCCTAAGCCTTAAGAAATTGAC